GAGGGGGGTTGACGACGCGCCTGCGCCGTGGGACTAGGCCACGCACACCGGTGACGCCTCCCGCAGCTGGACAGGTATTTCCTCAAAGAACTGCCACGGGATCGTGTGCTGTCGGATCAAAGCCTTGAAGCTTCATGTCTTCAGCTCTTTGGAAGCAAAGGAGGAAGAGAAGAGGGAGAAGAAAGAAATCGCTATCTCAGTGAGGTTCTTGCAAAACGGACTTTTTGTGAAGTTGTCAGGTCTGCAAATTCCCCCTCTTCAATGAACATCAGCTTGAACCCCTCCTTTTCAGGCCATAACCCCACATCCAAACTCAACTGTGGCCATCTGTGCCTTCACTGAGCAGTCCCACCCGTGCTTAGATGGTTTGTGAGACCAGCAAGCAGCTTCACTGATTTTTTTCTTGTAAACAGGGAACTGAGAAACAGTTTATATAGCTGAGGAAGAGTTAAAATAATCCATGGCTCATTGTCATACTGTTTTGACACTCACTGTTCAATAAGCTCTGGCAGTTTAAAAGACGTAATTTAGTGATCTCCTCATGCAATTACCATCAGTGACAGAATACTCAAACAGACTCTTAATGTGCCGCAACAGCGGTTTGCTCACCAGGAGAAACTATTTTGGATATTTTTCCTTCGGTGAACTAGGCACAGACAAATAACTTTTCTTTCAGCAGCAGACATATGTCAGTGTCCCAGCTACGGGACCTTCACAGTGATGAGGGCACTGCAGAAGACAAATCCCGACTTCTGCACTTCCTCCTCCGTGCCTGAGCTGGTCAGGGTTCTTCCAGAATAAAATCTGGCTCACATCCTTTGATTTTCGTAGTTCTCAGTTCTCCAACACGGTGCAGTGGATTTTAGTTGTTGTTGCTTGTTTGTTTTTCTGAGGCATTAATAAAATGCAATTGAATAGCATTCAATTAATTAATTGAATTAATAAAATTAATTAATGCTAATTAATTTTACCACCAGTGATAGCCCAGCAGCATAAGCAGCAGATCGATAAAGCCTGACTACAGATTCTTCTTTTTCAGTCTTGTTTCTACTTTGTTTTATGTATTTTTAAAATTCTGAATCTATAATTATTCTAAAGCTTAACACAATCTTCTGCATGGGAGTGTAAGGAAGGATTTGGGAGCTTCATGACCAAGCTTTCATAGCCTGCTGAAGTGACCAAAGGGCAAAGAGGAAGAGTCTCACATCACACGGAGAACGAAATCCATTCTGTTTTTAAAGGATGACATTTCCTTTTAGCCTCGCAGGCCATGTCCTGCAGCATTTTGACGCTGCTGGAATGAGGAAGCCGAGCTGACTGAAAGCAAAACGTTAAACTTATTACTCTGCTGTTAAATGTATTGCTCTGTGCCTACTCTGCTCTCATTCTGAGCGAGACCTCAAAAGTCGACTTAACAGCGTGTAAAAAAATAGCTTTTTAAAGAAACCCTTTCAGCCTGGCTATCCGAATATGAGACTAAAAGAACAGCATATTACCCTTTCAAATGGAATTTTAATGTCACCATCCCTTTTTTAAGGTTACTGTAATTATGCTGCAGACATAGTGCTGTTCGGAGGGCCATCCCGGGTGTCCCCACTGCATGTGTTCCTCGTCTGTGATTTTCCTGTAAATCCTATAGCATTCTGGCTGTGTTTGTACTCGCTCTGTACCACAGTTTTCTGCTACTTGAAAAGTTCAGGGCGATTCCATTTTTTGGACATCTGTTCAGTTTCCTAATTGCATGCACAAGCTTGGAGATAAATAGGATTTTGAGCTATGCTTCCTGAGGCTCAAAAGAAAGTTCAAGTGTAACTGTCCTTCCGAATGAGTAACCAAACCCCTGAAAGTTCAAAGAATCATCTCAGATTGCTCTTTTAGACCATCTGAAGCTCTGTGTGAAGGCAGAGGGACAGAGGAAGTCCTGTGTCTCCCAGGTTTTTAATGCTTTTTGCCACTTCCAGCTGGTTTTCTCAAAGATGGTAGGATCTCAGACACAGGAATACGCACAAAATTGATCAAAGTCATGGTTATGTCTGTAACCAGTGAAATATCTTTGAAGGATCAGTCCAGGGTCTTAAATCTACATTTAATTCATTGCTTCAGGTGACAAAACTCATGCCAATGGTGTTTTAAGTCCCTCAAAACTAAGAGTAAAATAACTATAAAAGTAAACCCGCTTTTGTTCTTTTACAAAGCCAGGAGCAGGAGCTGGAAGGTGTAAGACCCAGGAAGCTACCACTTTAAACCTTCCTCCTGCCCCTCTCCCAACCCACTGCCTCTGTAGGGTGGCCAAGCCCATTCCCATGTGAGTTGAGCGCGTGTGTTTCGACCTCTCCTGTGGGTAACCAACCCTCTGGGGCCTTGCACTGCCAGGGTGGGAGAGGAGAGCGTCCTGGAAAGGCAGAGCCCTCGCAGATTTTGAAGGGGCTACTTCCATACTTTAGTGGGTGGATAAACGTGATCGGTTTACAGAAAAGATCATCAACAAGAACAGTAATGTTTTTATTTTCAGTTTTAGGTGTAACTGCCGTTGATGAACATTTAGGCAAAAGTTTAATTCTTAGACAAGACCTAAACATCAAAGCTATCCTTAAGAATAGATTGAAGTCTTGCTGATAACATTTATTTTAAAATTCCAAACAGAGTTGGAAGTGGAACCAGTTGGGCACTTCACAAATCATGTAGTCATATATTAAAAACCTCACATACTTAATGCCAACAAGATGTTTTAAATATCTATCTGCAGATGTAAAATGATCTTCATGGGACTATTTTGTTGATATGAAATTGAGAGGCATTATGATAATTGCATAGTCTGAATAACATGAATCAGTTTGGAAAATTAAAATATAAGCCTATTAAGGCGGCAGTAAAATGTACTATTTCATCTGCAGAAATCACCCCGAATGCACATTGCAGAGACCGATGGCTATTATTAAATATGCACACAACATATAAGTTAGTAAGAATAACAGGGGAAGAAAATAAAAATAAACCTGATCAGTCCTATAAATGGTTAATATGATCTTTTCCTTATTTGCCATGGAGTTCTGGAACCACTTTGTAATCTAGATTTTGAAAGCTCAATTAAAACTAAGATAGTAGAGAGAAATTATCCATGTTAAGCCAGCCACTTAGAGCATACAGTTTTATTAGCTTGGAAATAAGTGGCGATACTCTCTAAAAAAGCCTGAAGCAATATAGAAATAGTGTCTGTATTAGGATGACGCCTGTATCACCTGCTGCTTCCAGAGGGCAAGGGGCTGCAGCGGGCACCTTTGACTCTAACTCCAGTAACTCTGGAATTCCTATATTCCATTGTCAAAGGGGGTATTTAAATTATAATTGCACCAGCAAATTCCCGGCTATTACCAGACAGTAATTTGGGAAAAAAAAAAAAAAAAAAAGCAGTACGCTGCCCTGGCCTATGTCTATCACATTTTGTAGCTGGCCTGAATTAACAGTAGTTCAATTTATGTGTACTTAAGAAATTTAGATGAACAAAAATTAAGCATCTGAAAGAAAGAGCATGTCAAACTATAGATTTAACATACTATGGGATCTTAGTCTGTGTGCAGCCCATCCCACAAATGGACACGATGGCATACGCGAGATCATACACGTTTAAAACACGCACACACAGACGCTGACGAACCGATGTCTTGAGCTCATCTGCAGAAGCAGAGTTACACATGTTACAGGGAGCGTTTGTACTGGAGAGGAAGCGGCATGGTGTGTGGGATTCACTTCTCTGGGATCCCTTTGCTACCTTGAACAAACGATTTAACCTTCATCCACGTCACCCTCATACTCTCTTCTGCATTTGAAAATATGCCTCTAGAATAGCTGGCTGCTAGGAAAGCTTAGGTTTTCTCCTTTTCGAATAACATATCTGTTTTTACTTTTTTTAGCCCTGTATAACTGAGGTCACTATTGGATTATTACTGGTTAAGAACTGAACACTGCTTACCTTGCATTGGTGTCACTCCGGAAGGGAATTTGTATTTGAGACAGAGAACCATGTCTGTGCGCTGTTGCTGTCATTTTACAAGAACTGTCATTTTAACCAGTTGTTTTAAAGCTGGTCAGTTCTGCAGTTCTAGAAAGGGTTTGGTAGGAAGGATTTATTCAACTTGATGAAGGTAAGGTGCTTAAAGCTTTGTTGCACGCTGCTACCATCACTTCCTTTTATATATAAATAAACTATTTATATATATATTTGCATGGAACAATTTTTTTGCATTGCTAGATACTTCCACTTAAAGCCTCTTTGTGGGTTTTTTTTGTGTTACATGTAATTATTACAGCTGTGGATTTTAAAGGATGTTTCACTTGCTGAAATGTCTTTGTTAATGTTGTGATGGTGGGAAGAAAAAAGATTTCTGCTTTCTTTCTAAATTATTCAGCTACCTTATTCTTGCAGTAATTTTCTCCTTTCTTCAACACACAATATTCGAAAAAGATTCTTTCCAAAGAAAGAAGAGGGTTGAGGACTGTGCTATATTTTAGAAGGGTCTGCTAATTTCACGAGGGGAAAATAACTAAGCCGCAAAGAAAACGTCAAAAATGGTGTTGTTTGTTTTCTCTAGTATTCCAAATTTTTTTTGTGGCTAAGGTACATGTAATTTAGAAAAGATCTCTTTTCTTTTAAGGTCAGGAGGAAATTTGCCTACTGAAAAAGGGTAAGTTTTATGATATGAAGCCATCAAAACATCACAAATGCATTGTGTGTAGAATTTCAGAAACATTAATAATCAGCTTTAGTTAAGCCACAGTTAAATTCAGTGGAAGCCAAGTTAGGCAAAAAACATGACTTATACAGACTCACTTATTATACTTTAGGGGCTTATTCAAAGCTGGCAGAACTCTGCAGAGAAACTTTCTGAGCCCGCTAGCAGGAGCTCAGGTCCTTGCTTCCAAAAGCCACCACTTATGCCAAGGGTATGGTGGAACTCTGCCTTTGATGAGAAGTGTTTAATGGCATTTCCATGTCCCACCAGTGTCTGTCTTTCAACGCGATAATGGAGGAGCTTGGAATTTCGCTCAAGCATCAGAAGAAGTTAAAGAAAAGGTCGCGAATGAAGGGGAAATCTTCATTCACCAGCATCCTCACTTGTCACCAGAGGCGGACTCTGAGGAAAGAAACCATAGCGTGAGCAAGAGAGACACCTTTGAGGAAACATCAGGAACAAAACAAAACAAAACAAAAACGACGCTGCCTCCAAGTCGATTGTGGCGGGATTTCTGAAATATAGGCATTTACCTTGTTCTTCAGAAATTCTCTGTGGTTTCTTTTTTTAATCTAGAGGTACAGCAGTTCAAATGGTCATATAGACTGATGTACTACTAATCATCTGGGAAGTGTCTCACTATTTCTTTTGAGATGAATTTGTATGCTCACCTGTTTTGCACCTCTCTTCCCCTCCCCACGCATTGCTGTATATGCTTTCTAAATAAATAAATAAACAAGAGACAGGGTTCTTTTTTCCAATAATCTTGGGAGTGGAACCTTTTTTTTCCTTTTGAAGAAAAGATTACAGTTCTGCTGAGCACAATTGTTTAGAAACCAGGACCCAGACAACCAAAATAAAAATTCATACAATTAACTCATAAACAATGACAATTAACTCACAAGCAATACAAAAACATCTTAAATACAAAGGTATCCAGCAATGAGTTATTTTTACTTCCTCTGATGTTGTAAGGAATACTCTTCAGGTTCTTTTCTGTGAGAAACTTGTTTTTCCTTATCTTTTCTCTGTTTCATTTCTTTTAAAACACGTTTATTAGGTAATGCCATGGCTCCAGGTGCTAGATGTTCAAAAACGAAAACCAAAATCACAAAAGTAATGATCAGTGAACAGGGGAAGGCAACACTGACATCATCACACTGCCGTATCCTCCAGCTTCTGATACCAATAAAACAATTCTTGACTCCAAAATGAAAATCCCTTAGAAATTAGAGCCAAGAATATTCAATTTATAACAAATCTTGACCACACAGATAATAACGTCTGACAGGAATACAGCCAATCCTCTGGAACAGAAACCTTTTATTGGAACGGCTCAGGGCACCAGCAAAATGTTTTAACAATGAAGGAGAAAGCAAATTCCCCCCCAAACCTGTTCCTTTATCTTGCAGTGAGGTAAAGCACATCTATATTTATTGCTGTGCTGTCTCTGTGATTAATTCTTGTTGTTCCTGGGGCTTTTATTGGTGGCAGCTTGTTAACTCTGAAGGTGCCTGTGAAAGGAGACAGGTGAAATGCAGGCACATCCACACCTGAAGGGATGTGGGTGGGCACAGGAGATGGGTGCCCCTTTGCACCTAGCAGCCAGGAGCTGTACCCCTGCCTTCCTACATGCCAGGTTATATATATATATAAGCCTGGCCTGTCCCAAGGCTACCCCACCACGATGATTACCTCTAATCCTAAGGCAAGGCTGGAAAAAGGGAACCAGAGGGCTGGAGCCACCAATTGCTTTTTCCACACAGCACACGGAGCCAGGCAAGCCCGAGTCGTATCAACTGTATTTGCTTCAGCTTGCGGCGATGTTCATTCCCCAGGTGCTTCTCAAAGTGTTAAGTTTTGTTGTGTTTCTTGTATTCCCTCAGGGAACATATTGCTTATGATTGATTAACTTTCCCTTGTACCCTTGGCCATTTCCTCTGTAAAAGGAGAAAGTAACGTGAAAACCTTTGAGTGGAGAAATCTCTCCTCCAGCTTCACCTCACACCGTCACTCCCTGCAGCCCACTGTGAGCTTTTACACTGCGCTGCATGGCAAGGTCAATCCAAAGTGAACAGTATTGCTTACAAAAGCCCAGCTTCAGAAGTGACACATTTCACTATTATTATAGACTAGAAGACACCTCTGTTCATTTAGCCTTTCCACAAGGGTCAAGTTTCCTAAACCGCTCACCATTACCACCTCTTTCCCCAAGGTTCTCTGTATTTACCCCATATCCTTCTCTAAATGCAATGACCAAAACTAGATTTGCTTTTCCACCCATGTTGAACTGGGCAGAAAAATGGCTTCTTGTGTCTCGAAGGCCATACTTCTGCTCATACACCTGGTGAGGAGATCTCCTTGGCTGAATTGGGTAAGGTGGGTGACCCCTCCGTGATACAGGCAATGATCATTCCAACCTTAGTTTAGGGCCATGGCCATATGGAATTGCACATATTTGTGATTTTTTTTTTTTTTTTAATGAACTGTTTCTCCAAATTTGTCAAGATCGGTTTGTCCTCAGCCATGTTTGTTACCTGAACAAGCTTGCCAGTACCTGCAGATTTAAAAAATGTACTCACTAAAAACCATCCATAAAGGAGACCCAGCTGGCAGAAAGACCCCTGTAGGTTCCCCCCCAGGTTTGACAGTGAAGCTCTGAGAGTTGATAGGACAGTTAATAGCACTTTTGGCTATCATACAGTACACGTCATCTAGCCTATTGCCCTACTTGTTTATGAAAATGTTATGCAGGACAGGATCAAAGGCTTATTAAGGACCCTTCCCTCACACATGGGGCCTGTTAAGGTGTTAAAGAAGGAAATTAATCAGATTAACAAGACCTGGTTTTGACAGATTCGTATTAACTCTTGCTCATTTCCTACCAGTTACTTGCAAAATAGTTACTTCATCCAAGTCTTTGCTGGGCAACTGAAGTTAAGCTGGCTGGCTTAAAACTCCCTGGATTCTTCTTTTCCTTCCTTGGAAGACAGGAATTATTATTGCTGCTTTCCAGCATTTCTTCTCTACTGTATCTAACCTCCATTAGTTCCTCTCAGCAGGTTTGGAGCAGTCATCCTCTGGAAAACGAAAGAGAAGGGTCTCTTTTAAAGGGACTAGAGTAGGAAGCTCTGAAATCAGTGCTTGCTTTTGGGATGTTTGATCTCCTACATACTGCAATGACACTCTGGGCTGATAAACAATAATTAAGAAAACCAGCCCCTGGCCCTGAGAGCTCATAGAGGATCTTATAATAAGGTGTTTTCATACTTTCAAAGGTAGTTTCATTTATTTATGTCATCATCACGTTACCAACAGGCCATTCAGATCAGCAGCAACATTCTAATAGCATGATTGAAAAGCAGGTTATTATTTTTCAGTCTGTGTAACTCTATTGCTCTGCCATCCACAGCCTTTAGCTAAAATATTTTTAAATGAGTAAGTTCAAAGTGATAAGAGACTTATGATCAGACCTTTTTTTTTTAAAAGGAACGCTCTTCTGTGGCTTAGACCTTGAGGTTAAAGAATTCCAGATTCAATTTTCTAAAAATCTACAAATGTTTTCCTGAAACTAAGAGACAGTACTTAGTTTGGTTACTTTTTACGTTTCAATTTTCCCGTCAGGGTTAGTGGTCTATCACTTACAAAAAGGTGCTGGGAAAAAAATTAAGCTCTCTGCTGTCTGGGAAGAAATACAGGGCCATGAGAAAACAATGTATAAAGCATATCTGGTTCTTCTTTAATTTCTTTTTTAACTCTTTAGTAGCTTGAAAGAGTCACAGCATACCAGGAAGTGTCTTGTGCTGAACTCAGACAGCAGCTTAACAAGGTATATTTACTGCAAAGGAGCTAACCAACCTGCTGTGATTTCATGAACCAGCACATCAAGAATGCAGCTTGGTAACTGGTTATAAAATCTCCCCAATAACCCCTCCAATATAAATTTTTGCCCAAAATTGGGTGGATTTGCAGTGTGAACTACCCCATGAAACGTGTGTTCCCTAAAACCTCCACGCAGTTACAGACAACTAGCCTAGCCCATTGCTCTGCTTTCCCCCGTAACAGTTTCAGTGATCCAGAGACAGGTTACACTATCTGTCTGACCTGTCCCCGCAGCCAAGATTTTCTTTGTCAGCCAGTATATGTGTATATATATATAAAAATATATATATTTAGATATAAAATCAGCAGTACAGCACCAATTTTGTGGCCTGTGACTCTCACTCTAACTGGCTTCCTTTTAAGAAACTACAGACAGGATTGATACGGGACTATGACTAAGTTCAAAGGACACTCACTCCCAGTGCTTGCTCCCACCTCAGTCCAGCGGTGACCCGCCGCCCCGCAGGGACCATGTCCCAGGCTCTGGGCTGTCCCCACAGCCCCCACACATTGGCCATGAGCACAGCCTGGAGCATCTACGGACCCATGGGGAGCTTAAGGCCGCCGTGTCCCCCACCTTGATTCAACAGAATATTTTATATTTCAGCCAGCTAAAATTGTAGCTAAGGAAAACCCTTAGGGATGCATTTAAATCCCACTGGTATGTAAGGGCTCAGCCAAGTGCTTTCCTAATTCAGAGCTGTGACCTTTCCGACCCTTCTCTAAAGGCGTGTAGGTCTCTGCCTGGGCTGCTCGTACACCACTCTGACAGGTCCCAGCTCCACACATCCGTGCACATAGAGGCCACTGCATCTGCTATATTCACAGCCATGCTACTCTTCATGTTTCCTGTATGTAGACATGTTTAAAGCAAAAACAAATCTGTTTTTAAAGCGCCTTCCCTCCTGCAAACCAACCTGTGTCACTAGAAACATTTTCCTTAGTTTCAGATGCTACTTGAAAATTCACTCCATGACTGAGGAAGCTACTTTGTCTTCAGGGAGGAGGGACAAGCAAGGGCAATCTTACATATCGACATAGTAGCAAATATGATTACTGTGACCTTTTCATCATATCCCAACAGATATTATTTTCCTGCCTTTTTTTCCTGTGTGGCAGTATGCAGTAACAGAGAAGCCTGATTAGAGAGTACCCATTAGGAAAGCCAACGTCCTCATTAGATCTCTATCTTGGCAGCAGCAGGCATGCATCCTCATTGTTTATAAAAGAGAAATACAATATTGATGGATGCTGTTGAAGGGCTTTAATGTGTTTCATTCCAGAAATAGCCCTGGTTTAGTATCAGGTGATTTTTCCCGTACAGTCTCTAGGGTTAGTCAGTATTATTTCACATCCCTTAACTTTCTTGAGAAAGCGAGAAGACGGGCTCAGTAGAAGAGAAGGAATATTGGAAATACAAAAGTGACCGTTTAAGCTGTGTGCTCGGGGCCCAGCCCAATACCATGATTGATAAAGCTACTGCAGAACAAATGAGGATCAGCTTACTACCTTTTGGGGCCTTTCCCAGAGGACTGCATCTCGTGGGTCTGCTGTGAACCTGCAGTCCCATGGGGCATTTATTGACTGCTGAGCTTGTCCTTTAATTACTCTCTGTCAAGCTTGCAGGAGTCAGGATTTCTCAGTGATCGGAACTGCCACTATTTAGAGATACATCACTTACAGCTGTCAAACGACTGCAGGTTTATTTTAGCCCCATCGATTGATAAAGATGCGTATGTTTTTGCCTGCTGATGAATTCTGACTCGAGCATACTCCTGTTCTCCTCTTGTCACCTCCCCCAAATCCAAACTCTCTTGTCGTTGGCGCAAACATACAGCTATCGGCGTTAAAATGCGAAGGTCTCCCTTGCGCTTCCCGATTT